GGGGGGGTAGTGCGCGGGGACACCACGGCGCGTGGCCGCAAGCGAATCCCGTTCGGGATCTCTACTGGCGGACCAGAAGCACGCAGATCCCCGCGGGAAATACCCCCTCTCAACCCCCTCTCCTCCTCCCCAATGCACTGCACCTCTCCTTTCTGCTCGCCCTTCCCTCTTCAACCTTCTTCGCCACGAAGAAGGCCCCCGCCGAGCCATGGTGAGCCCCGACCCCTTCCACCCCGGGCGCCGCGGCGCCGCCGGTCCCAGAGGCGCCATACCCTTGAATTATGCAACGCCTCACGCACCGCCGGGGAGAGTGTCACGTGACACACTAGCACTACCGGGTACCGGCCCCAACACCAAAGTGTGTGACGCAGTCACACAATGGTAGATGTGTAAACGACATTCGTACGGACCAAGGCACAAGTGAGTGAATTTCACAGGAAAATTTACACATTTACTGTCTGAAGTGTACGAATGCATATGGGAATTCACACACCTATAAGTGTGCGACATTCACATATACTTGCGTTTCCAGTCCAGTCTCGACAAGTAACACACACGAACACACGTCACCTCCGCCGCCCTCTAATCCATTTCACACTCATTCAACACAATAACAACATAATGCACACCTCTTTCAAAGGTCCTATTATAGCGTCGCGGTTATGGGAGTTGACTGTCAGCATTAAAACAGATCAAATGAACTCCCCGTCGCCATAGCGCTGTGCGGCTGCCATGCGCCCGTGTGTGTCCGTTTAATAAGGCTTGACAAAAACACGCTCGCGTCTGTTCTACCCCCCCCCTCTCTCTCTCTATCTCTCTCTCTCTCTCTAGGCGGGGTGACAAACGAAAGTAACATCGTTACCGCTCTAGCGGGTGGGCCCTCTTTCCTTTCTACCTCGCGCAACAACATTCGGGAAACTAGCAGCGGTGGTGGTGGTGGTGGTGGTGCAGGCTGTGTGTGTGTGTGTGTGTGCGTGTGTGCGTGTCGGCGTGGCGAGGGCCGGCTGTAGCATCTCCCTCCAGCTAATTCAATCTGCCGTACATCACGGTGTGGAGGTGATGGGCACCCGCTGTCGTCCCCGATTCCGAAAACACAACAAACTCACCCCTCGCCCGCTTTCAGCAGAGGCACGGCGTTAACTTTTCTGCGCGCAACACTCTGTATCTTTCTGCCTCTTCTTCTTCTTCTTCTTCTTCTTCTTCTTCTTCTTCTTCTTCTTCTTCTTCGTGGATCTTCTCGTTTCCCGACGAGAAAAAAAAGCCCCGAGAAGTTGAGTAGGAAAACAAAAAACGCACCGCAATGTAGCAAAAAGCTAAGTCAAAACGTTAAAAAAATGTGGGAAGGGCACGACAACGATCCATTATTTACCGTGTCCTGCTGGGCGGACAGGCTGGGCTGTCCATCTGCCGCCTGTCCGGCCCCTGTCCACCCAGCGCGCCGTGAGATTAAAAGCGACAGGACAGGCTGGCCCTGGCTAGGACCCGCGAGGTGGCGCGCCCTGCCTGCAGGTTCAAACTGCTGTGCAGGCAGGGTGCGCAACCGAGCGATTGCTACTGCGAAGCAACATTATTGAGCAAACTAATGAGTCAGAGCGTTGGCAAGCCCTCACGCAACGGTTCAATATAGTTCAAGCAAGACGTTGGAAGCTTTCTGCTCAGCGTGCGTGAAGGGCTCAAAAGAGGAGGTGAAGGTGAGCGATTAGAGGCGGTATGAACAACAATCTGGTTGAACACTTTACTATACGTTTAGCGGTGCAGTACTGAACGCCGTTCAAGTATGGGTTCAAAACTGCACAAAGCGAGTACGACTAAAACAAGGGACTGTCTAAAAAAATTCTAACGCTAACGCGTTAACGGCCCCCTTAGATTTTAATGTTAACTTTCGAATAATAATACTACAACGATTCATTACACTAGCTACTGATTTTGATTTATACAGTGCAGCCAAATATCTAGGAAACTTATGTTGATCAGATTAAATAAATGATCTACTACAGTGGTTAATTTCTTGTACACTGAAAATTCTAAACAATTTGTCTATTGCAAATATTTTAAAGTTTAGTATGCTGATCGTTCGCCAAGCTAGCTTGCTTAGATGAACACCGCCATAACATTCACGACAAGGAATGTGAACTTTTCAAAAAAACTACTAACACAACGTCATTGATAATGTTTTGATACCTATTTAAAAAACGTATACATTTAGGCGTATTGTATATTATATGTTGACACTTATAATCTTAAATAAGGTAAAAACATAACATCTATTTTCAGTTATAGGTTGGCTGCATCAGTATACTTTCCGCCCCTTTTCAAGCGAGTTTATTACAAGGCGGAACTACCGTCCCAGCCAACAATCAAAGCCGTGGCTGGCGCTCAGCGGCCGCGTTCAAAACGGCGTCTGTGTTGCATCTTTATACACGGCGGCCAGTTGTCATTATTTAAACGTGACCACCGAATCGACGCCAGGGCCAAATAATTTTTGAGGAGGGTTGTACAAAGCAACAGGCGATCGATTCCATTGGTCGAACTTTCCCGCGCAAATTTGTGATTGGCCGAAATTTACCTGGCTCGATTCGGCCTGCTGCTCAGCTCGTCATTTCCATGGAAACGAGTGGATGCAAACTCAAATTTCTCAAATTTCATCAGACAAAATTACATCAAACATATCTCAAAAAATTTCTAATTTTCTGTAGTATTTTTTATTCAAATTTCATTAAATTCGCTTGGGCACGATTGGCTTTGCCATAAGGGGCCATCGTCAAGAATAAACTTTCGGGCGAAAGCAATAGGCACCCCTAATCGGGGGCCTAAAAATATGACGGGAAGGTAGTAGCTTTAATTTACAACTAGCAACGGCGCACTCTCATCGCTGGCAGCGGCGGCGTGCCACGCAGAGGCAAGCGCCGTGGAGGTAGGCCGCCCGGCCGCCCCGGTGTCAAACGGGAGGGTATCATCCAGGCGCTAGTGCTGCTGCGCTGACGAGTAGGAGGAAGGAGGAGGAGGGAGAAGGAAGGAGGAGGACGAATAGGACAAGGAGAAGGGGGAGGGGACGAATGGAACGACATGCAGGAGGAGGGGGGGGGGGAGGACTTCGTCGAGGAGGACGAGAAAGAGGAGGGGGAGGAGGAGGCACACACCACCCGGGCCTCCTCTAATCAAAGGCCGGCCTAATCAAGTCGAGTTTGATTGAGAAGTTGCGATAAGTATCGGCAGGGGTGGAAGTCTGAGACTGGTGAGGGGGAGTGGAATATAACACCGCCTGCCTGGGACCCGTGGCTCTTGTACCCAGAAGGAAACCCAGGCAAGGCAATAAGTGTGCGAACGTAGCAAACTAGCTGCGGAATGTTCATTCGGCCACTTTGTTGTTTCATGGAAATGCCATATTCCACAGAAGTGCTGTTTTAATCACCCTTCCCTACAAGTAGTGTGCGAATGAGAATGCACACACTTTGCGCAAAGTGGCGGTCCTCACATACATGGGGTTCGCTGTATGGATGGCCGCTCGTTATGCGAAGCCAGCAAAAAGGTTTGCAGCATCGCACAACAACGCACACTGACCACCATACGTGTCACGATACAGGAAACGAGAGCAGGCACGTCTCCTCTCTCTGAGGAACGCTGCGCGCTCGTGCTATTCCCAAAGCGTTTCGAAACTCTTCCGATGACGCCTCCTGCCGTAGAGTATGTGGGGTGCAAAAGACTCCCCGCCGACTGCTGTGTCGCCGCTCCGGCCGGCTGACACGGGCTGTCTGTGTTTTATTTACACCTCCTCCCGGGCCCGCTAGCAGCATGCTGCAGTGCGACAACCCTCTCTCTCCCTCTCTCTCTCTCTCTCTCTTTGTCTCTCTCTCTCCCTCTCCCCCCCTCTCTCTCTCTTCCCCGGAGAGCGGGATATCGCGCGCTTAACGTCGAACCACGCATGTACAGGCAAGGCCTTCGGCAAGTCCTCCAACTTGCAGTATAA